ATATAATAAGCTTGAGTCAAGGGGTGATGGGAAAAGCATCAGCATGCAAAACATGGTGAAATGATGGGGACATGATGAGTGTGTGAATGTGACAGACGAGCAGGAGAATGCGAAAAAATACACCCTGTTTGGTTTGCAAATTCACATTTCCATTATTTCACTAAACTCCACATGATTTGCCTGAGTTTCACATTTGTCAAACATACAAAACTTGACATAAAAGCATATAAGCTAGTCAGATCTAATGCAACGGGGTGTTGCTGGGACTTAGGCTTCGGGTTGATTGGATTTAGCAGGCTGAAAAGCAGAGACCTGCTCGACCCTGCCGTACATTTATTTGAAATTCAACTTTTACGCCACCTGCCAGCCCTGTCTTCCAAAGGGTAATACTGCCACCTGTTGGTTCAATTTGAGACTGCAGGCGTTGACTGCAGCAGCGCCAGGATCCCTGTGCTGTGGAGCATGCTGTTGCTGCTCTCTGCTGGTGTTTCTGGGTTGGGAAGACATGAAATCAGAAGAGTCAGTGGGGGGAAATTCACCCAGAGCGAAAGCGGCTTTAGGATACGTTTTTCGTTTAACCGACACATTTCACAGGTGAAGGATGGACAATTCAGATTGTCCATTTGAATTATACAGCAGTGGTGGTAAATGATGGTGGCAAAATAAATAAATAAAATATGAAATTAACAGTGTTTACTATTGTTGTACTATGTGACAATTAAGGCGTCTTGCTAATGAAGTCGTACCTCTTGAACCCTTTTGCACTGCTATGTTAAAACCGCAAATATCAATGTAAAAAAAAAAAAAGTTTATATGCTAAAAATTAGTAAAGCAAAATTTGATAAGTTTAAGTGTACAAGCTACGAAAGGAGACAAAGTACCTGCTTGGGTTCATCGAATTTTTACTTTTGGCAACTGAAGTGTTTTCCTGTGTGTCTCCATCGAGGTGAGTAGCAGGTGGGGTCATTAGTGAGGAGAGGCACTGCAGGCATCATTTACCTCAGCAAAGGTCAGTGTTCATGATTCAATAATAAGAAAGAAAACAGAT